CAAGCCACATCCAACCTTGAATGCTCCCAGGAATGAGGACGCTTCTCACCAGAGCCCAGGGACTCCGGAGAGCTGTCCAAAGCCAGAAATGAGCCAGAACTGCCTCGATGTGGGGCTGCAGGTGGCTCACCTTGAAGACCCAGGAGCCGGTCTCGGGGCGGTACTCCTTGAAGCGCGCCCCCTGCCGGCGGGACACGGCCTCCAGCCGGCCCTCGTAGTCCATCTCTGCCAGCCGCTCGGGGCTCTTGATCAGGCACCGCGACGTCTTGTCCGTGGGCCACACCCCGTCCAGGGTCACCTCAGCCCGCCTGCCAAAGGACAACGGGCTCACAACCAGGGGCTGGCAGCCTGCCCAGGGAGCAGGGCACAGCCCCACGCTGTGGGGAAACTCCTATCGGCTCTCAAACCCAATGTGTGGCTCAGAAACCTGAAGGAACTCACTGACACTCTAAACCGAATGCACCATTTGGGTTTGTCTCCTGGTTGCAGCCTGCAAACACAGCAGACTGTCAGGGCTCTAAAATTCATCCTTATCTAACACTTACCTATTTAACCCTTCCCCAATGGGAGGTTTCTTTTCGTCGTCAGGGTAAACAATAACTTCTTTTCTCCGGATATGTACAATCTCATCCAGGTTTAAGTTTGTTAGATTTACTTCTCCTTCAAAGTAAATCGATCCATAACCTGCACAACAACCCAAAAGGTCACAATTAAAATTGTGAAAAGGTCAATTACATTGCGAAAAGTCACAATTAAAACTGTGAAAAGTAATATGCCAGAGAGCTCACGTTCCTGCTGTGCTCCCTCTGTCCCCACCTAGCCCTGTCTGTCTCCCAGACAAAGTGACACATCCTTCCCCCTGAGAAAACTCTGGAGGAGCATTATCAACTTTGACACCAATATCAAATGGCTGGGAGAGCTGGCAATGTTCAACCTGGAGAAGGGAAGGCTCCTGCCAGGGCCTGAGGGGCTCCAGCAGAGCTGCAGAGGGACTGGGGACAAGGATGCAGGGACAGCACCCAGGGAATGGCTGCCAGTGCCAGAGGGCGGCCATGGATGGGATCTTGGCAATGAGGAATTGTTCCCTGGCAGGGTGGGCAGGCCCCAGAGCAGTTGGGGCTGCTCCTGCATCCCTAGAAACGTCCAAGGCCAGGTTGGAAAGGGTTTGGTGTGCACCCTGGGATGGTGGAAGGTGTCCCTGCCCATGGAATGGGATGAGCTTTAATGACCTTCCCAAACCAAATCAGTCTGTGATACTGGGATTTATTTTATCCTAAAATCCTACAAAACATTGATGCCAACTGCTGCCAAAGCAAGGGCACTGGTGGCAGTCAGACTGAGGGCTGGGAACCGAGGCCCTGCAGCTTTGGGATCCCGGGCAGGCTGGGGCGCTCACCCGTGCGGCCGATGGTGAAGTCTGTCACGATACATTCCTTCCTGTCGTTGGTCAGCCGGGCCAGCTCCTCCAGGGTCGGGATGGTGTAGTAGCCAGCTCGTGTCAGGACAATCCCTGCAACACAACATTCCCTGAGAACAGGGCTGGCAGCAAGGCATCCCATTTCTTTTGCCAGCCTGAACAGCTGTAAGCCTCAGAGGAACTGAGAATCAGGGCACCCAAAGCCAACAGACACCACAACACCTTCATTCCACAGCCTCCAGAGCACATTTAAACCAAGTGCCCTGGCAAGTTCTGCTCAGGCACCTGCCAGGGAGCAGCAGGTGTGCAAACAGAAAGGAAAGAAGGAGCGCAGGGAGAAGAAAAATCGCAAATGTATCAACACTTGAAGGAAACACTCTCCCAGCTTTAGTAGCCTGGGGCCTCAGGCACTGCTGACCAAACTGCAGCTTCTTCTACATTTAACAGGCTCCAATTCTTCTTCATCTAATAATCTGTCTAATGATCTTCCTATTTCCCAAAAGCATTTTGCATCTACAAAATGTCCAGAGACATTTCTTTTGCACACATCACCTGCCGGTTTCGTTACATGCCACGTAAGTATTAGCTGGGAGTATTAACAAATCTTTTCCCTTTACCTTCTCAAGTTCAAAAAACTCTGACACACGTGATATAAAATTGGAGGATAAAATTTAAATGCCCGCTGACTCAGCAGATAAAATTTCTGCGCTAGGTAAGAAAAGCAGCATTTGTATTCTGGCGGAAGGAGGGGGGAAAAGAGCAAAAGCCGGGGGTGTCCAAGAGCAGCAAACTCCACACACAATGTTGCCCCCGGCAGCCTCACCTGCAGGATGCTGCTGGAGGCCAGGCTCGATCTCCTTGTCCCACTCCTCCTGCAGGGAATCCTCCTGGAAGGAGGCGTCCTCGCTGCTGCCCTCCAGGCCGTTGCGCAGCGCCGCGCGCATGTTCAGCGCCACGATGGTGTCGTCCACGCCCGAGTGGGGCTTGTGCCCGCTGCCCTCCAGGCTCTGGGGAATGGGCTTGGCAATGGGGTTGGTGTAAAACCTGGTCACCTCGTGGGCCTCCTCCTCCTCCTCCCGCTCCCCGTCCTGCCTGTGGTTCTCCTCGGGAGGCACTGACAGGAAGAACCTGGGCAGAGGAAGGATAATGTGAATTATTTCATTCCTAGGGACTTACACCAGCATTCCTGGGCAGGCCAGGAGCTGGACTCGGTGAGCCCTGTGGGTCCCTCCGTGCTCAGGACACTCTGTGATTCTATGATTAAAATTCTGCTCTTTCCACACAAAGAGCAAACAGCACCACACCAACGGCGGTGTTGGTGATTATTCCCCTTCCCTCTGCTCCTGCTTGGCTGCCACTGAGGCTCCCACTACAGCAAGGGCTGTGGTGAGACTGGGACAGGCCCCCCAGGCTGGGGACTAAGGCACGTGCCCTTAGTGAGTGGAACAGGAGCTCAGGATGGAGAGAAGCCTCAAAAGGCAGTGTAACAGCAACCCCACAGCTCCAAACCCTCTGCCCACAGCGCCACGGTGACCTCACTCCCACAACAGCTCCTATTTTATAGCTTTCAATAAAATCAACATGGTGGGTTGGGCAGGTTTTTTCCAGACTCTGAGTAAAAGAAAACCAAGGCAAAAATCAGAGTTCAACTGAAATATGGCCACAGGTTTTTTAGAGGAAGTTGGAATTTCTGGATTTTGGTGGGGGAGGATACAGCCTTAGAGGCTCCTCACTGTAATCTGTACAAAAGACATATACAGAAAATAGAAATATGAGACACGAAGGTCAGTGTAGCTCCCTTGCAATTCCCACATCACTGAGGACTGACCAGCAGAGGTTCTTCTCCCCTCAGAGTCAGGTTTAGCACTTCCCCCAAGGAATATCCTGGTTTCTTGCTACAGGCAAGGAAGAGAGACTCATCCAGAACCTAAGTTCCTGCTCCCTGACCTGGATTTTGGGTGGGGTGACCTGGCAGTGCCCACACAGCAAGAACACATGGTTAGTGCAGGAGGAAATGCATCTCCTTCCAATGAACAGCAAAGTGACATCCCTGAGAAGAAGGGGCTGCTGTCCAGCAGCAATTCAGGACAGGCAGAACCAGTGTGCACTTGTGAGGACAAGCCCTGCAGGGTGACTCACTCACCTGTCCCCATTCTCCGGGTACTCCGACGGCGACGCCAGGTCCTCGTTCTCTCGGCTCACGGGAGAGAACAGGTTGCTGCTGTTGAGGTTCTTCAGAACCAGCTTCTTGATGCTCTTCCTAAACACACAACACACCAAGGAAGGGAAACGTGAATCTATCCACTGCATACATGGGTACTTTGTACTTAATTCAGATGCTCCAGGGACCAGGAACCAGCTCTAAGACCTGTTCCCACACCCAGGACATTTCAAGTGTCCCGTAAGAGATCCTAAAATGTTTTGGGGAATTCCATTCAAGGCTCTGGTTTATACAGAGGTGTAAAAAGCACACGCCAGTGAAAAGCTCAAAGCCCAAGTTCAGCAAACCACAGTGCTCCCTGTTTCCCAAATCAGCCTTTCTAGAAACACAGAAGGTCTGGCCCACAGGTGCAGGTTCATTTTAAAGCAGGGTCACATTAATCTTTTAGCCCTTTGTTTTTACTCAACTCCAAACATTTCAAAACTCCTTTTCTATTTGACTGCCATTGTTGTATCTAAAAACTGAACCCAAAGCTTTACTTGGGCAGATCCATGATTTATTTCTCACAGAAACATCTGTGCATTTGAAACAGCACTAGGGCTGGGATAAAACCACCAGAAATCTGCCTCCATACTTAGGGCATGAGCAAACTGTTGACACTCCCAGTTCAGGAGCAGGAAGTATTACCCTGTGCAAGCTTTCCTTGTTAGAATTCCTCAGTGACTTTATAGGAGCTTTGCTCCCATCATGGACTGACCTCATTTTACAGCTTATTTGGCCTTAAGAGTCTAAGCTGAACCTTTTCCCCTCCTCTACAGAAAACAATTCTAGTGAAGCCTTACAGACAACTTGTCATTGTTCTTCCAACATGAACCAGAGCACAAAATCATGAGATTCAAGGTAATACACAGGAGTTTCCAGAAGATTGTCACACAGAGACAAAAGAGCAGCTCACTTTGGCATGAAGGCTCCATTGGACAGGGAGGGCTCATCATCATCCAGCCCATCAAAGAGCTGGGACTTGGCCGAGCCCGCCGACTGCAGGGCCTTGGGCCGCACTCTGGTGGCGGGGCGGGGGGTCAGCTTGTAGTGGGTGGGGGTCGTCAGGGCCTTCTGGGCTGCTGGGTTCGTTGGCTTCAGCCTCTGGAACAGAGAGAGGGACAGGTGGAAACCTCAGGCGTGGGGACAGAGCTTTAGGGTGCTCCAGGCCTAAAAAGGGCCCTGAAAGGCAAAGGGGGTGGTAAGCAAAGGGAAGCAATAATTGCACCCAGGTTAGGGGGCTCCCTGCACAGCCCCTGCCATCAGCCTGGATCCATGGGCAGCCTTGGATCCATGTACAGCTCCAGCCATCAGCCTGGATCCATGGGCACCCTGGGCTCCCTGCACAGCCCCTGCCATCAGCTGGGATCCATGCACAGCCCCAGCCATCACCCTGGCTCCATGGGCACCCTGGGCTCCAGCTGCCAGGCTGGACTCACCGCCAGCCCCTGGAATCTGCTCAGGGGCAGCAGACACTCAGAACCTCCCCTACCATCTCAAAGCCTAGAAAGTGTTTGTTTTATCATCTCCTGAACAAAGCAACAGGAAAGGCTTCTCAAAGACTCTCAGGGATGTCCTAAGCAAAGCACTACAATTATTTTCCAAGCATTAACAATGATCAATCTTTATTCCCACTCAGCAGCAGGGAGCCCAGGAACTCCATAGCCAAGGCTGCGACGCAGGCAAAAGCAGGAAACCATGGAACGGTTTGGGTTGGAAAGTACCTTGAAGATCATGCCCTTCCAACCCCCCTGCCATGGACAGGGCACTTTCCACTGGGATAAAATCAAGCACTGTGTGTCCCAGAGGGTAGAAAGCCACTGCACCACTGGGAGAGCACAGAGAGCAACTTCCTTGGCTGCTCAGTGTGCACTGAAGCGATGAGGACTGCACACAGACCAAGCAATTCCAGCTGTCACCCATAAAATGAGTCCAGTGCTGATGGGCACTCACCTCCTCCTTCTTCTTTGGGTCTGACATGGGGTTTCTGAAGAGTGGGGAGTCCCCAAAGGGGGAGTAGGTCAGGCTGTTGAGGTGCTGCTGGAGGACAGCTTGCTGGGCTGCAGAGGCGTTGGGGTCTGTCAGAGCTACAAAAGGAGCAGCATTGCAGTTTTAGAGCTCTGGGAACGGAACCAGGCCAGGCAGCACACAGCAGTGCCCAGAACATCTCCTTCCTCCATCACAGTGTCCAACCATATTCACTGAGGTCCCATGGTGAAAAGCTGAGGGCACAGAGAGCTACAGAGCAGTGGCAAGAGCCTGGCCTGCCAGAATATTCAACTAACCCAGCTGGCTTCTGAAAGGGTGTGCGGGGAAAATATTTCATGCGGAATTTTGACATTACTGCTACTACAAACATACAGGTCTAGAGTCCCCTCTACAATGGATTCTAAATCTTGTCTCTGTCTTAAAGCATTTTATTTTGATTCCTATTGAAATGCTCTAAGACTTCACCCACCCCATGAAACATTCAAGCCACTAAAAGCAGCTTAATCCTAATTCCAAGAAAATCAGGATGGATGTGGGCACTCCCAAAGAACAACAAAACCACTCTCAGAACAACAGCTTATTATTGTCAGGGTCTGTTGGAAGTCAGGAGGAGAGCTGGAGACAACTGGGTCTGATTTTTGTCCCAAAGGCACAGCATTCCTGTTAATAAAGGCCCTCTAGGCCTCCCCTATCTGGAAGTCCTGAAAAATCCAACATTGCACTTCCCTTACCTTTCATTGTGCACATCTATTCTTGCTGCCCTGAATTCAATTTGGGAAATTTACTAATCTTCAGGACAATGCTCTAAAATAGGCGCAATTATTGGGCATGTAAAGCAACTTGGAATTCCTTTTAAAATACACCTCTAACTAGCAAAACAAGGGTCATTAACAGTCTGCACTGTGACTGAGACCAGAAGCAGCCCCAAGGAGATGTTCTGTCATTCCAAACCCTTTGGGAGGGGAGTGCTCCTGTGCTCAGGCTCATGGCACTCACCTACAGCAGGCTGAGGGGCCCCAAAGCCCAGGGTGGCTGTGGATGTGTTGAATCCTGGGGCTCCAAAGGCTCCTGTTCCCAGCGTTCCCCCCAGCTTTGGCTGCGTGTTCCCGAACAGGGACGTCTGTCCTGCCCCCAGAGCTGTGACAGAGAGGGCACAGTCACCACAGACTGACAAATTCACAGGCACAACACAGAACTCCTTGCTGGACTGCAGCAAACACTCTCCCCATGCCCATGGATGCTGCAGGCAGCAGAGGCTCTGGGCACAGAGGGCCTCACCAGTGATGCCCAGTTTCTGCCAGGCCGCTTGGCACTGTGCTGAGAAGCTCCCCTTGGAGCTGCCCTGAGCCACCCTGCCTTGAAGCTCAAACACACCCAGCCTTTCCTAACTCAGCTACAGGCAATGCCCAGGCTGGACTGACTGCAGCCTGAGGGCTGGAGCTGCCCAGGAATGAGCTGGCAAACTGCTCACCTGTTCCAAACCCTGTTCCAAGTCCAGTGCCCAGAGTCCCAGTCGCAGGCTTATTTCCAAACAAGCTATTTCCAGCAGTGTTGGCACCAAAACCTTCAATAACAGAATGAGCAGCTCATTAGAGATGAAATTAAAACCATGTATTTAAATAAATAAGCCTCACAGGGTCCAAGAGCCCTGCCAAAGCCAAATTTCTCACTGTTTCCAGCAGTGCAGGTTAAACTGGCAATCAGCAAGAAGGCACTTTACTGGTAATAAACACATTTTAGTTATAAATATAGCATTAAAGCAGCATAGAAAAATGTGGGTCTGCCTTCTTAGGCTTTTCAGTTTGTTACAAACTTCAGAGTTTCCCAGAAAGGCAGAGCTGACATGATGCTGCTCTAGCTGGCAATGGAGTAAAACGTGCTGGGGTTTTTTGAGTGCCTGGAGGGAACAAACCTCAATCCATCCTGTTTATATCACACACCCATTTCTCTGACCCTCACCACAGGGCAGGTGGGAACTCAGATCTGCACAGTTCAAGGGCACAGCTGTAGCTGCAACAAGGCCACCCCAAATCTCCCAGTTCTACCCCAAATCAGCTCAGTTCTACTGCAGATGCTGACCCCATCCCATGCTTGGTTAGTACACAAAGCCAGGATTAAACTGAAAAAGTGCAGGTGTGCACCAACCCCTTGGAATCCAGCTCCATTCCTCCCATAAACTGCTACACAGGCAAACCAAAACCACACACTGCAAAGGCTGATCTCCACCAAACAGTGCCAACACTCTGTGGGGCCATGGAGTTCCTGAGCAGCAGAACAAGAACTCAAAGCACCTTTCACACCCCTGGGAGGTTTGCCCAGGACTGCTCAACACAGTCCAACCCTGCTTGCCAAGGGGCTGCCCTGCACAGAGCCTGATTTGGGCAGGACCTAAAAGATCAGCCTGGAGTTCTTCCCTGTCTAAATGGGCAGGCTGGCACAGCAGCTAAAGGCATGGCAGGCCCCACTGCTTTTAAACAACCAACACAAAACAGCACTGCAGGACAGGGATGGCAGGGTCCAGCCCCCTCCTACTCACTCTCAGAGACACTGCTCTGTTGCTCTGAAATCCAGAATTAAAAAGGCAGGAGAGATTTCAGAGACCCCTGAAAGAAGGTGCCAGTCCCTTCAGCCATCCCTACACATTCCTCCTGTTCAGTCACACCCAGCCAACATCAGCTCTCACATCAGAGCCACCAGGAACACACCAGCAGCTCCTCAGGACTTTGGTCCTTCCCATCACCCAGGACAACAACAGCCACCAGCTGAACTGGAGCTGACTCAGTTCACCTTCACTGCAGGGCAGGATCCCCTGACACCTGCCCAAGCCCAGGTCTTACCCCAATTCTCCCAGTGTTGCTCTGCCAACACAGGGTGTTCACAGCCTCCTAAAACACCTCTGCCCCCTGAATCCTCCATTTCAGGAGTTTTCAACCACAGATGGTTTGGAGCTGCAAGGGTCCACCCAGCCCAGCCCTGCCCAGGCAGGGTCACTGCAGCAGGGACACAGGAACGTGCCCAGGGGGTTGGGGATGTCTCCAGAGACTCCAGCCCCTCCCTGGGCAGCTGTTCCAGGGCTCTGCCCCTCCAGGGAAGGAAGCTCTGCCTCAGGCTGGGCTGCAATTGTTGTGTTTTAGTTCCCGGCCATTGCTGCTCATCCTGCCACTGGCACCACTGAGCAGAGTCTGGCACCATCCTGACACCTGGATGGATGGATGGATGGATGGAT